CCCCCCGCACTGTCCTGCAGGTCCATCCGACCATGGGTCCCAAGGAGGGAGGTACTCGGGTCACCATAGTGGGCGAGAACCTGGGCCTCTCGTCGCGGGAGCTGGGCCTGCGGGTGGCTGGCGTGCGCTGCAACGCTGTCCCTGCGGAGTATGTCAGCGCTGAGAGGTGAGTGTGCTACGCAGCCCAGGCCGGCCAGTCCCGGGCAGGCGCCCATTCACCGTCTCTCCATCTCAGGATCGTGTGTGAGATGGAGGAGTCGCTGGTCCCCAGCCCCTCGCCCGGGCCCGTGGAGCTGTGCGTGGGTGACTGCTCGGCTGACTTCCGCACGCAGTCTGAGCAGCTCTACACCTTTGTGGTGCGTGTGCCGCCCGCCCTGTCCCCTGCCGGGCGCTGGGTGCGGCCCAGCCCTTCCCGTGGCTGGCCCTGCCCTCCCCTCAGGACGGCTTCTCCCGCAGACGCCCGCCTTCCACCGAGTGAGCCCAGGCCGGGGCCCAGCAGCGGGAGGCACCCGGCTCACCATCACGGGCAGCTCTCTGGATGCCGGCAGCAAGGTCACAGTGACCGTGCGAGACGGCGAGTGCCAGTTCGTAAGGTGGGTGGGGCACGGGGCTGGGTGGCCTGGGCTGGAACCACAGGCACAGGCTGGGGCCCCGGGCCATTCCCAGCGCCGCGCCGGCCATTGCCGCCGCAGGAGAGATGCCGGATCGATCGTCTGCATCTCGCCGGCCTCCACCCTGGGCCCCAGCCAGGCCCTCATCACCCTTGCCATCGACCGAGCCAACATCTCCAGTCCCGGAGTGGTCTACACCTACACCCAGGACCCCACTGTCACGCGCCTGGAGCCCACCTGGAGCATCATCAAGTAAGGCCCTGGGAAGTGTGGCGCGGACCTGGGGGCTGGGAGCCTTGGGCACCAAGTCACGTCTCCATCAGCCAGATGGCAGGGTCACCCCAGCCTCGGGCCCCAGGTAAGGCTGCCAGCCCGGGCTGGGGGGCCCCACTCCCCTTTTGAGGCCCTGTGCAGCTGTTATAACTCTCCAGGTCTGGGCTGGGGCGGTGGGAGGGGGAACGGGAGCCTGAGGACCCTGTCTCCTGTCCCCAGCGGCAGTACTGCCATCACTGTGAGTGGGACCCACCTACTGGCGGTCCAGGAGCCCCGAGTCCGGGCCAAATACCGCGGCATCGAGACCACCAACGTGAGTGCCAGCTCCCTCACCCGCCCTAACCCTGCAGCCTCTACTTGGGTCTCCTAGGCTGCCGGGCTGCCCACGCTTGTCCCCACAGACATGCCAGGTGATCAATGACACGGCCATGCTGTGTAAGGCCCCCGGAATCTTCCTGGGGCAGCCTCAACCGCGGGCCCAAGGCGAACACCCTGATGAGTTTGGCTTCCTGCTGGACCACGTGCAGACAGCCCGCTCCCTCAACCGCTCCACGTTCACCTACTACCCTGACCCCAGCTTTGAGCCGCTCGGGCCCTCCGGTGTCCTGGATGTCAAACCTGGCTCCCACGTGGTGCTGAAGGTACCTGCCAGGGGCCGCAAGGTGTGGGCAGGGCTGGGAGAGGCGGGGGGTGGGGCCCGGGCGACGCGCTGCTCCTCCCCCAGGGCAAGAACCTGATTCCCGCAGCAGCAGCCGCCGCAGGCAGCTCCCGCCTCAACTACACGGTGCTGATCGGGGGCCAGCCCTGCGCGGTGACCGTCTCCGACACGCAGCTCTTGTGTGACTCGCCCAGCCAGACAGGCCGGCAGCCTGTCATGGTGAGTGGAGGTGGGCGAGGTGCAAAAAGGGGCAGCTGGGGAGGTGGGGCGCCGCTCACCCGGGCCTG